CCTGGGGGATCCAGCCCACGCCCAGTAGGTCCCGGCCCCGCCCCGCCCTCGGGTGCGCTCAGTCTGGACCCAAGCCAGCTGCAGGCCTACCCCGTCGCAAGGCTGGGCCTGCAGCTGCAAGGTTTTTTTTTCTTGGGCTGAGAGCCCACTTACTCTGGGCTAGAGTCTGTTACAGAGAGATAACCCCAAATATCCTGGAAGGAGAGGTTGTTTTCCTCTTTCTGCTTTGGCCGGTTTGAATTAGGGACTCCACCCAACCAAGGGAAAGCCATCAGCTGCGTTCTCCCCAGATCCCCGCTCTCATGGGACAACCTGATACCTTGGGGCCTGCAGTAGCTCTTAGTTTTCTCCAGGGACAACGACCCTCCAGAGACGGTGTCATCACGGACCTGCGTCCCGGTCCTTCACACACAGAACCTTGCGCTTGCCGTCCCAGTTCTTTTTTGTTTCGTGTTCCTGGGCCTGAGTTTCCTCTTCTTTAGTACTGGCTGTACCGCAGTACTTCATGGGGATCCGTGAAGGCAGGGTTGGTGAATACGGGTGCAAATCTGCAAATCGTGGTACGAGAAGCGGTGGTCACAATAGAGTAAGACCTTTCAGTATTGCACCATCATCAGTTTTATCCCAAATGCCAAGAAAAAAAGTGCGGGTGGGAAGATCCAACAGAAGCCATTTCAAAGGGAGGGAAAGATTCCGTAATAATTGAGGACACGTGCTGAGGCAAACGAGGCCGGCTCTGTAACGGGTATATGGTAACTTGTTAGAGTTTTAGAGAAGCCTGCAAACGGGAGGAGTTATACCCCTGCAATTAACAGACCCCCCCCAAAAAAAAAGACCTAGAGAAAGAAATACCTTGTTTGAGCAGGACTAGAATCTGGGTCCTTCTTGGTACTATAGAAAGAGGCCCTTTGCGAGGAGGCTGGGAGGCTGGGGGAATAAATCCATTTAAGGCCAAAAAAAGAGAACAACGTGTCTTCTTTTCTTATTTAAAATAATTTCATTTTTGTTTTTCAAGGAGCGTAAAAAAGCATGAGAAGTTATTGAGAAAAGAGCGTTGCTGGCAGGGAGAAGATTTTGGGGAGCACAATGGGTCTTAGGGAGCCTGCCTGAGTAAATCCTAGGCACGGGGATGGGATGACAGCAGGGCCCGAGGATAGGACGGAAGAGAGTAAATGTGGAGAGTACGAAGTGCAGAAGCCCGACAAGTCCTAGGAGAGTTGGAAGTTCCTAGAGTGACTGGGGCTCACACTGAGATTGTATAATGGACAGACGGATCGGATGGAGGGAGGCTTCCGGGGCGATGTCAGCGCCGCCTCGATTGTGCCTTAAATGGGTGCCTGACAATGGTTATCAAAGAGAGGCCTACCGCTCCATTATTTATAATGTTATGCATTTCAGCGGTGCACGTCGCCAGACATGAAATTATACACAGAGTTCACGTTAGAAAATGACTTCGGGTTTGCTTTATGGAAGTTTAAATTCTCAAGGTTTGTGATGGATTTCATTTGCAGGCCCTTATTTCTGTGATTTTTATTCTTTAGAAAGGCATTGCTTAAGAGAAACTACTCCAGACTGTATTTCTCTTTGAAAGAAATAGCTGCGAAAAGCCTTCAAATTAATATGCAAAAGATTTAGATCGGAACTTTATCAAACTACTGTGAATAGGTATGCTCCAAGGGGCAACAGCAGTGGAAAGCCTTTTAGCATACTGTATCTGATTATACCCTCTTTGTACATGGCGAATTACTAATGCACTACTGTTAAGCACCAAATGCTATTGTGTTTTTAAAAAATAAGTAAGATGAACTTTCTTCAGCATTGGCCTCAGAATGGACCAGCTTTGGAGACAGGTGAGCAAGAATGGGTGAGAAATATTTTTCACGATGTTCTACAGTCAAAAAATAATAATCTGGCATCAAACTTGAGCCCAATTTAATTTTTTACTCTTTCCTCCTGGAGAAACTTAACTTCAAACTGTGTTTTGAAACCTAGAACACCAATGTTCTATCTTATGTCTGTAATGAAATGCCAATGTTAAAAATCACATTATTAAGGCACCAAAGGTTGCCAGATCAATCTCTTAGTTAAGGGTTTAGTTCAAATACACTCTCGTTTCTGTAGTACTTGCTTTTCATTTTCATAGTTTCTTTGACTTTTGACAGTACCTGTCCTCAGAAACACTAAATCGGCAGAGAGAATGAAATCAAAGCCAAACATTGAAAGTCCCTTGCTGTTTAGGTTAAACGTGCAAGTTTTCATCACTCTAGCCACTTGTTTTAAATATTTACACAAAAATTAATCTGTAGAAACAATTTAGAGAGGATGAACCATAAAGCAGTCTACATAATTATCAGATAGGCAATAGAAAAGGAGCAGAGCTAAAGACGTCAGTTCCTTAAATGGTGTCGCCATCGGGTTTTAAGTGTTAATTAGCAGCTAACACAGTGGAGCGGAGACGTTCTTTCCTTGAATGTTGGGCATGGTGTGATGCACCATTCCTGTTATTTCTGGAAAATCTATTAGATAGTGTGATGTCTCCCCAAAAGTTCATTTGTCCAAAAATGGTGCTGGCTGGTGGAGGGTGCTGAACTCATCAGAGGATGAATCCATTGACAAGTTCATGGCTGAATGGCTGTTTGCAGGTGGGGTCTGATGAGAGGGGTGGGTCACGCGGTGTGACTTATGTGGGTGTGTTCTTGTCTGTGACCCTTCCTCTGTTAAGCAGCTTTGGTCCGTTGTCCCCTTGTTCCATTCCCTTTCTGCCTTAGAGTCAGCTGGCCGTGGACTGAACCCTCTCTGAAGCTGTGAGCCAAAGTAAACCTCTCCTCCTTTAAGTTGTGTCAGGCATTTTCTTCCAGCAACTGAAAAGTGACTAATATAGTTAGCAGTGTCTACAACAGAACATTAAGCACATACTTTTCCAATTCAATTTCTACTCTTTATATTCTCCTTGAACACATCAAACAATTCAACACATTTTATTACTTTGTTTAATAATGAAGCAAAGGCAAAATGAAATTAAAA